TGACAATAACATCCAATCATTAAAAAGTCCGTCTTCAAATATAAACAAGAATGAACCCTAGATAAGGAAATTAAGAATGCTGTTAAAAAGTAAGGAATAGTAATGCATCATTCGACATTGAGTCTGAACTTGTGAAAAGTTTCTCTATTCCATGAAAAAATTATGGAATCAGAAATGCAAATCAAATGGGGATTAAGCCCGCATTTATGCATCCTGGGAACATAAAGGTAGCCCTCAAGACCTTCACACATACAGACGTAACTAAATTGGTTCCATCATGCTCAAAGTATTAATGAACATTATATTAAGTAGGTTCTCATCGTTTTATAAAAGACATATCCTCACAACTCAGTTTGGTTTTCTTTTGGTAAGCGATGTAATGATGGCATATATAATCAAACAATTCCAGGAAATTGCTTATCTCTCTAATAGGAAATCGTATACCTGCTCTGTCGGCCTCATAGCAGCATATGACAACATCAATAGAGATTTCATTTTCAGACCCATTAGAAACCGCATTCCAAGTTACGAATCCACTGAATGTATTGCTCTAATAGAGGAACTTATCAGACCACAAAATCTTACATGTCTGGTGAGGACCTCAATACGGAAACATTTCAAACCTCACTATGATCATGATGAACAGGAAAGTAGGAGGGACAGTTTATTTAATTTTTTCCTATACTATGTCCTGTGCATTTACAAACGCAAATTTTAAAATATGGACACTGATCATTTGACCATTCCCTACCAAAGCCCATACGAATCTACCAATAGAAAACAACGATCCTGATTCCCCTCCCGATGTCAATGTACTAAGATGGGGTAGGGGATATCCCGATGACATAGATATTCATAGCTGGGATAAGAATGATCTTGAACAAAAAATCAACATCAACATCCTCTATCAAGTGTTCCAAGAACTAGAATTCAAGATAAACCTTTACAAAACAGAAACTATGATCTGGAGCTGAGATGAAAGCACTTATCACATGCACCCTGAATCCCTCACAATAATTCAGGATGTAGAATTAGTAAATACTAAACACTTCAAATACCTCTGTGTATGGTTGTAACAGATTTAGTATAGGAGAAATTGAATATAGAATAGGCTGCACTAGAGATAGTTTCGCCCAACACCGCGAATTGCTACAAAACCAAAACAACAACCTGAAAACACGTCATGTTCTTAAATAGACTCGTAAGATCAAGACTTTCCTATGGACACCATGCATGGCGTCAAACCAATTCAGAAATATTTAAACTGTCAACTGTTTACAATCACTTTCTAAGATCAATGGTTAAAAATGATTTTGAGCGAGTTGAACCTGTGGGTCATGGCGAAAACTATCCTTCTTCGAACATTGTGGACTGGCGCTACAGAATCATAAAGAATTATATCAAATAACAGAAAACGCATCACTTGAGGACTATCAACAATAACAACTAAAATGAATAGCACATGTAACTCGAAGTGAAAATAATGACATAATCAAGATGTTGACGTTCCACACTACTTTAAACAAAAGGTTAGGAAGGAAAAAGCCCCCGTCAATACTGGAAATGGCAATAGCAGCTCTACTGGAATTGAGAAACCTATTTTCCTGAAAAATTGTTTCAAGTGAATGATTTTATAAATTTCCACCGACATCAGTACTGGCGGCTCGGTTAATGAATGCCAAATTTTTCCCTATAAGGAAATAACTAATACTACCATTAATATAGAGTTTGAGTTCTATTAACACATCCGCTATTTTGTAACGGTTATTTATTACTGTATACAACATATAATAATTGTGGCACATGGCCGAAAGGGAAGTGGGGAGAGGCTAGACTTCGCTAACTATCTTATTCCTAGTTAATCACGATCATGGCCTATTCATTCAATACAATAGATCTATTTACCACAAGAACTCATCCATCACCAGTCAATCCTACATATACCACAATACCACATACTTACCGGGGAACCTACAATTTCAAAATGCCTAACTACAAAAATATATAAGAATTTCATGAAGCATGTAATGGGGAGAAAGGAATGAACCCCAGAAACGAACTAAAATTGGAACAAAAATAAATTAAAACAAAACAGATATTAGTAAGACCTGTCCACCCCTCAAAACAATCAGAGTGGCTTCTGTATTCTGCCGATAGACAGAATCAAATAGCACACTCACTAATGAAATGGGGAGGGTAAAAATAAATGACAGAATGGGAAAAATCAAAATCTGTTCCAGACGAGATATAAAACGGGAACCAAAAACAAAATGGCGAGGTTGGGAATCTCGACATCGGCCATAACAAAAGAGAATGCCGGTAACAGGCCGGGAGCAACACTTATTCACATTAACTAGGAAAACCAAGATTGTCTAGCTTAACCAGAGGGAGAGATAACAGGAAACCGCCCCGTTGTGACCAAGTGGACTTAAAAATGAAAAAAAAGGAACTCAGTGTTAGCCCCTTTAACACAAACCGCTATTTTGTAACGTGTGCATTATCGATCAACATATGCGATGCTTTACTGTAATGTATCTCTATCAAATCTATATTTAATAGCAAGTAAATTGAAACACATATTCAAGATGTGGTAATTTTATTGATCTGTAGATGATGTTATCTGGCTCTATTACTTAGACATTTAATCTTCAGGAAATTGAAACACATACTCAGGGTGTTGAAATCTTATTTCCCTCAACTGCATGACGATCAAATAACACATGGAAGGTTATGCAGATGAAACCTGATCCAGTGACGTCAGGATGTTTATCCAATCAAAATGTATTCTACAAGCTTGTAAAGCCCCGTTCTGTAAGCCTGCACTTTTAAAACGTCTCATAATTTCCATACAGGTTTGAAAATTGGCTAGATTCTTCGGGTATCGCAAATACGATTATCAACTTTAAGGATGACGAAATGTTTCTATTAGATATTTTCTTAATTCTTTAATCTCTTTCGGGAGGATTGATTTCTTTTGCTTCCTGTTCGCATATTTCCTGTGGGCGGTAAGTTAAAGTTAAGTTAAATGGCTGAACAAGCAAATGCATAACTCCCATTCGTCTCCAATAGGGAAATTCACTTGGCGTAAGCAGTGTGTTTCGGGGTGCTAGTATGATTGGGCAAATATTTAGTCAACATTATGTTGCCGGAATCAACACTATTTACGTGCTCCTGGAAAAATTATCCCACAAACAATACAGGGTGCGATGGATAAATTGTCGTCTAAATGAGGCAAAAAAAAAAAAAAAAAAAAAAATGAAAATAACACTGACATCTCATTCTAAGATATATTTACCAAAATTACACAAAAATATCTTGAAATACTAAAGAGTAAATTTATTCAATAAAATCGCCATTGGCTTCAACCACGGACTCCAGACGACTTCGGAATCTTCTGCAACTCTTCTGGGCGGTCTTCTTGTTTAAATTAGTGAATGTTGCCATAATCTTTGCTTTCAGTTCATCTTTGGTGCTAGAAGGAGTTTTGTTAGTCTCTCACAACTGAACCCCAAAGAGTGGGGGTTGCAATCTGGGGAGTTAGGTGACCAGATGTAAGGGATGATGTGGCTGCAGAAATTGTCTGAAAGCCATGATTGGGTTCTCCTGCTTATGTGGCATGGTGCAAAGTCCTGTTGGCAGGCATAGGGTCTTCCAACAACCACTCTTTTGATTCAGGGCTGCTCTACCGGCTCGAGGCACTTGATGTAGGTCTCCGTATTGAGCCTGAAGCCCTCACCATCAAATTCGGGAGTTCTAATCAGGGTGAGTTTTCCGAGCTGCTGTACCTTCGTAATCACCATTAGACTCATCCAATCCTCTACACTGTCCTCAGATTGACATCTAAACATTCTGAAATGTTCGTATTGGAGATTCCAACGCGAATGCCAGCAGTATTGCATGCTGTTTCCAAATTTCTGGCGGGGTGAAATGCGTCATGATGCTCTTTCTCTAACGGACGGTGCTCAACTGACCCTATTATACTGTGCGGTCGAATAAATCAAAAGCAAGCAACGCGCATGCGCGAAAGTAAAAATATATAATGGCGACATTTTACCCATCGCACCGTGTATTGGTGAACTCAGTGTGAGTCAAAGTCAAAATGAATAACACAAAACAATGAATATAAAGCAAACGATAATGGCTGTATATGTACAAGGAATTACATATGATTAAAAGGAAAAACATGAAAGTAGTTATAGTAAGAATGTGCTTCTTAGTGTGTGTGTGTGTGTGTGTGTGTGTCCGTAACAAACGTGTGTAAGAGAGGACAAAAGCCAAGAGAGAAAACCATGAAAATGAACATACCCCAGTCGGGGAAACTCTACTCACGTATGAACTACATCATATAGCCAAAGCTGAAAAAGTGGAAAGAGACTAGGAAGAAAAATGCACGCCTTTTTATTGGCTTAAGTAACGCCTCCAAGGGATGGTATTTTCGCAAAATCATGTGGGATAACCCACAAGTGTTTTATACAAGTATGTAACCTAAGGTTATAATTTGGCTTTTAACATGACTTTAGTCCCATTGACAACCAGTCTAGGAGAAGGAAAACTGAATCCAAAACCAGCCTGAAATGGGATGGGCTCCCTCAGGCTATCGAGATACATCGTCTATGGCTGCAGTACATCTGGTGCCTCTTTGATACTAATTAACTCTTAAAGTTAGTCGAATTGAACTGCCGTTAGCTCTGTTGTTTCCTTCAGACTGTTGCAATCAACATATAGGTGATTATCAATAGTCGATATCTCAATTTATGAGGGTAAATTGCTCTCATATGTGCAGGGGCATTTCAACGTGGTGTAATGGTTAACAAGCATGTTGCGCTAGATCAATTACGATTGAAGAATGAGTTCAATCCACACTGGACGTCCCGCACTTTCAGGCTTGTCTCGCTAGATCAGTTACGACTGAAAAATGATTTCTAATCCTCACTAGATTCCCCACACTTTCTACCTTGTGTCACATGTAAACTACACTTAGTTAAATCACCATATTAGGTATGTGCAAAAGTTCCCAGTGCCTCCATTTTTTGCGTTTCTGTTTCTTTTCTCTCTCTCTCTCTCTCTCTCTCTCTCTCTCTCTCTCTCTCTCTCTCTCTCTCTCTCTCTCACACACACACACACACACACACACACTGACTCCTCTCTATCTCCGTCTCTCTCCTCCGCCTCTCTCTCTCTCTCTCTCTCTCTCACACACACACACTGACTCACTCTCTATCTCTCTCTCTCGCTCACTCCACCTCTCTCTCTCTCACACACACACTGACTCCTCTCTCTCCGTCTCTCATCACTCCACCTCTCTCTCTCTCACACACACACACACTGACTCACTCTCTATCTCCGTCTCTCGCTCACTCCACCTCTCTCTCTCTCACACACACACACATCTCCGTCTCTCGCTCCTCCACCTCTCTCTCTCACACACACACACACACTGACTCCTCTGCTCTCCGTCTCTCGCTCACTCCACCTCTCTCTCTCACACACACACACACTCCTCTCTATCTCCCATCTCTCGCTCCTCCCACCTCTCTCTCTCTCCCACACACACACTGACTCACTCTCTCTATCTCCGTCTCTCCCTCCTCCGCTCTCTCTCTCTCTCCCCACACACACACACACACACCTCCTCTCTATCTCCGTCTCTCGCTCACTCCACCCTCTCTCTCTCTCTCTCACACACACACACCCCCCACTCCTCTCTATCTCCGTCTCTCCCTCACCTCCGCCTCTCTCTCTCTCTCTCTCTCTCCACACACACATTGACTCACTCTCTATCTCCGTCTCTCACTCCTCCGCCTCTCTCTCTCTCTCTCTCACACACACACACACTGACTCCTCTCTATCTCCCCGTCTCTCGCTCCTCCGCCTCCACACATTGACTCTCTCTATCTCCGTCTCTCGCTCACCGCCTCCACTCTCTCTCACACACACACTGACTCACTCTCTATCTCCGTCTCTCGCTCACTCCGCCTCTCACTCTCTCTCTCTCACACACACACACATTGACTCACTCTCTATCTCCGTCTCTCGCTCC